CAGAAGATATATTACCTATGTATTGCAGAAGAGGGAAATATTCACGAGGTTTACTTTTAGTAGATTTGATGTTGCTGGCATATATTAATTGACTGATTTATGAAGGAATCAATATATCTGATGGTTAAATTTGCTTTAATTTAGTGTATTTATCTATTGGCAAAACTTCAGTGAATAGTTAAACACTGTACAGTATTTCTAAGATAACAAAACACCTGAGTTTATTATTAAAACTAAAGTTATTCACGTACACATTTTTCTGCCCATAGTTTATTCAATGGAAGTACTGAGTTTAGACCTTAGAAGATAGGTGTATTCAGTATTTTAGCAAGTAGTTTGTTGAAATCAGTATTCGTAGCCAGTATATTGGTGAAATCAGTATTCGTACCCAGTATATTAGTAGAATCAGGATTCATACCCAGTATATTGGTAGAATCAGTATTCGTACCCAGTATATTGGTAGAATCAGTATTCATAGCTAGTAGATTGATGAAATCAGTATTTGTTCCCGGTATATTGGTAGAATCAGTATTCCGAGCAAATATATTGGTAAAATGAGTATTTGTTCCCAGTATATTGGTAGAATCAGTATTCCGAGCAAGTATATTGGTAGAATCAGTATTCATACCCAGTATATTGGTAGAATCAGGATTGGTACCCAGTATACTGGTAGAACCAGTATTGGTACCCAGTATATTGGTAGAATCAGTATTGGTACCCAGTATATTGGTAGAATCATGATTCGTACCCAGTATATTGGTAGAATCAGTATTCGTACCCAGTATATTGGTAGAATCAGAATTCATACCCAGTATATTGGTAGAATCAGTATTTGTTCCCAGTATATTGGTAGAATCAGTATGTGTTCCCAGTATATTGGTAGAATCAGAATTCATACCCAGTATATTGGTAGAATCAGAATTCATACCCAGTATATTGGTAGAATCAGGATTCATACCCAGTATATTGGTAGAATCAGAATTCATACCCAGTATATTGGTAGAATCATGATTCGTACCCAGTATATTGGTAGAATCAGTATTGGTACCCAGTATATTGTAGAATCAGGATTCATACCCAGTATATTGGTAGAATCAGAATTCATACCCAGTATATTGGTAGAATCATGATTCGTACCCAGTATATTGGTAGAATCAGTATTGGTACCCAGTATATTGTAGAATCAGGATTAATACCCAGTATATTGGTAGAATCAGTATTCGTACCCAGTATATTGGTAGAATCAGTATTGGTACCCAGTATATTGGTAGAATCAGGATTCATACCCAGTATATTGGTAGAATCAGAATTCATACCCAGTATATTGGTAGAATCAGTATTCATACCCAGTATATTGGTAGAATCATGATTCGTACCCAGTATATTGGTAGAATCATGATTCGTACCCAGTATATTGGTAGAATCAGAATTCATACCCAGTATATTGGTAGAATCAGAATTTATACCCAGTATATTGGTAGAATCAGAATTCATACCCAGTATATTGGTAGAATCATGATTCGTACCCAGTATATTGGTAGAATCAGAATTCATACCCAGTATATTGGTAGAATCAGTATTCATACCCAGTATATTGGTAGAATCAGTATTCATACCCAGTATATTGGT